ATTGGTGAAGACCCTCGATAACCCCCATAGCCGAAGTTTCAGCTAAAATTGTTTAAAATTGTTTTTTTTTTGCCCATCTCACCCCTACTGGGGTTGTAATAGTGCAATAGTGCCCAGAACACCACATTCATATGGTGAGGTTTCAAACACTACTGCAAAAAAATTGATCGCTATTGTGAAGAAACCCAGAGGTTTTTTTTTAACGTTTCAGCTGCACTGGATTGAGATCTCTTCGAGCCTAAATCATACCGAAAAAGCCACCAGGAACGTTTGGGCAACGTTTTGGTCGGGGCATTAGCTGCACTAGAAAATTTAGAGTGTTTGCAACTGCTAGTCTTTTCCACCACTACACAACACGCCAAGACCGACCTCCCCAATAATTGGTACGTTGTATTGCACTTGTGATATTGATGCCAACAGTACCGCTATGGCCTGATGAAGGCGTGAACGCCGAAAGCGTGCTGAACAAGATCGGAGCTCCCACTCTCCAAGCTATCACAATCACTGCAACTATCGAAGTTTCAATATGCTTATAAAGCTCAGAAACCTAACCTCGCATTTGTTAACTTAGGTAATCATATACAACATCGCACCTCCCCAGCAGTAATTAGCGAGAAACCTCACTCCACAGGATGGGATTGGGGAGCGCAACTCATTGAAGGATCGTAGGGTACTGAGCTGATTGTAAAGTCGAATTATGCCATAGTATCAAAAATGAGACAGAGCACAAATGAGGCTGCATTAGCTCTTAAAATCCCGCTCAGATTTGTGATGTTTTGAATGTTTGAAAGTCGATGGGGAATCATTGCTGAATCTGCTGTCAATGAGATGACGGAACTGTAAAGAGTTCCCTAATATCGCCGTGGTTTTCCTTCCTAAATGATAATCATCATGAAGCGCCACCCCTCCCCCCCCTGTACTCTAAAATGAATAAAAATGGTGAAATAAGGGTGGATGGATCTCCAACACTCAGCACATTCAACGGAGCTGATCCAATATGCAGTTTGTTTAGCTTACCGTAATGACTCACTTGAATTAACTTCGAGGGCATCAAAAAGTTGTTCACTAGCAAATGGCTCAAGGTAGAGCAATTCCTTCTATAAGCGGTACAGAAAGAATAGAAAAACAGGGTTGATTGGATGTCAAAAGGTAGTTGGCCGGATTCAATGTCTGAGGTGAACAAATGAATGGTGAGGCCAAGTCATGGGCGCAGCGGAGGTGGCAACCACGACTTGCTTGCCGGAGTGGCACTGTGACCGCGAAGGGACTGCAAACGAACAAGTTCAATGTGGATGACCTTTTAGATGGGTAAATGTAATAAAGTTATGATTTACACAATCGACACTAGCCTAGGATGAGTCTGACAAGGGAGGTCAGCAGTCAGCGGGCCGCAATTAAGCGAGGTTTCCCCACAGGCAGGTGAGTGGAGGTGCGAACAAGTCTTGCCACAGTTGCAGTTGCTTCTCAAGTTGCCGACCTTATTTGAAGGGACCCTTTTGGGCGGGTGTGCACCTTTAGTCAGGATTGACCTTTCACACCTCCTCGCCGTGGTTATCTCGCACCACCCTGTAACCTGCCTCTGGGTGGACCTCGCTTAATTAGCTGAGCTGAGTGCTGACCCAACTCCGACAGACTCATTATAGAGGATATATTGATATTGGTAATAAATTCATTTATGCAGTAGCGGTTGGAGGAAACAAAATATCAGAAAAAATGGATAAAAATGGGAGCTCAAAAATAACTAATTAGCTAACAGCACTCGCAGTGCAAGCCGTTTTCCACGCAGAACAGCTACGAAAGGTGAAACTCCAGTTTTGGGGGGGGGGCACTCCATTGTTTCTCCAATGCTCAAGATAAGGATGAGAGCACTCATGACACGTAATCGGCTCATTTAAGTATACTTCTGATAAGTATCGCTGTAATGTGGAAGAAGTCCCAAGATGTCTTCACATTTCCGCCTGCCATGGTCCATGGAAACGGTCCTGGACAAGGATAATGAACACGGAAAATGACACCTCTGCCTAGGTCTAGGGGTGGAGGAGCTCCAGGGATGACCTGGTAGAAAAGTGGATAGATGTGGGCAGGATGTGTGGAATGTAGGACATCCACCGGTCCTTATCAAAAGTACGCTCGAAATGAGTCGTTCACTTATTATCTTATCATAGTGTTGGATAGCCCAAATGAATGCTCTCTAGTACTACGGATAAGTTAGCAATGGAGTGCCCCCCCCGAACTGAAGTTTCACCTTACGAAATTAAAAGTTTCGCCTAACTTCCCTACAGGCAAACTAATTTATGAAAGTGTGTTGCCAAAACGGCGCATCTCAAGAAGTAGAACGACTTTGCAGTAGGATGTCGAGAAATGTCACTAATACATCTGTATAATCTGAATTTTTTGTTAACTATGCTAAAAATTTGTATAAATTAAACTTTGGTTTGTTTCCGTGAATAGTAAAGATAGACTTGATAATCAATACTGCGCATGAGAGCGATATGTTGGAGCGAGGTCAGCACTCAGCACACCTAATTAAGCAAGGTCCACCCAGAGGCAGGTTACAGGGTGGTGCGAGATAACCACGGCGAGGAGGTGTGAAAGGTCAATCCTGACTAAGGTGCATACCCGTTACAGGGTGGTGCGAGATAACCACGGCGAGGAGGTGTGAAAGGTCAATCCTGACTAAGTTCCCTCTCCCGTTCTGGGCTCACCGTGTTAATATCGAATGCAATTATAAGCACCTCTCCGCAGACGGCTAGACAGATCAGTCACCTTTCCTGGTTAGTCCCAAACCTGAGTGCTACTTTTATGGAGTCGTATCCGCAGAGATCGTAGATGAACAGTGTCCACGTCGCCGCGTTACCCCTCAATTACGATAACACGGTTCACGGTGATGCACAGTCTTGAGACTAGGAGTTTTATACGTCTCCTTGGGCAGGGACTCCAGAGTGCGTGGTTTTTTTTTCATTTTCTTCCAAGTCCCCCCCCCCTTCTCTCGAGTTGAGTGATAGGGGACTTTGAAATTGCAGCGAGGCCAGCCGTTCACACAAGTTGACTCCGTTGTTCCCGCCTAAAGATGCAGCGAACAGAACGCCGCACCGCCTCGTGACCCCTATCAACTTCGATAGCCTGACGCGGTCGCGAGACCCATATAACGCATGATCGTCTCTTCCATGTGCTCTTCAAGCTCCACTTACGACGGCAGTTTTCGAGGAACTGGGAGGGGGGTTGTATCCAGGTTGACACATGTCAGCGTTCAGCCGATCGCCACCACAATCGCCATATGTCGTAAATGACCACACAATGGGAACGGCGGAGGAGCGAAGCGAATCTTTTGATCGGGTGAGGATCTGCAATCTACTACACTTGCCAGTTCTTCGCCGCTACTCTCCCTGAAAGGTGTGTGGATAAGCTGGGCGGAGAACCACACCAATTGACGAGAGGTGCTCTCATGGACAGATTCATGCCTCCCCTGGCTAATACTCTGCAAGAAACTTGCGGGCGTGCTTCGTCAACTTGCTCAAACTATGGACATAACCTTAAGTGCTCCTGAAGATCACATGTTCCCATGAACAACATTTCTCTCGTAATGATGAGCGGGGGATTGGGCATGACTCAGCTTCGGTATACACAATCCACTTCGCTACTTGTCAGAGATGCGCTCGTGCGAAGTAAATTATTTTTCAATCACCTCGAAGATCCGCGTTGCGGCTTGTACATTGCACAAAACCAGGAGCTCCTTGCATTCTGGGTCTTAAACTTCGTCCCATATTTATGCCGCCATAACACTACCTTTGGTTAAGTATTCCTTCAACCTCTGTACTCCGTTTTCGGGAGAAGCTTAAAGTATTCAGTGTAATTCTCTGTTTTCGCAGAGCAGCAGTTCCGAGTTTTTGGGTGTGCAGTGCTAGGGCAGGTAAGTCGGTTCTTCCAATGCGGTGGGCGCGAAGTGTAGGTAAGGGCTGGTGTACACTGTAACGAAGTTACGACACGCCATGAGTATCGATAATCGTTGCCCCTCTGTTGCTTTTTCGACCTTTGACCCCCCCCCTCCGGCTTAGTCCATCGATTTAGTGGACACAATCTTCCACATACATTTGGCGCCTATCGCATTTAAAGACTTGGCGTGCCTACCTGACTAGCTTTTCAGAATTTTTTGAGTCTTTCTACTGCAAGTACTTATAATTCAAATCTGTTATATGGGTGAATATCGGCGATCAAGCAAACAAAAAACGAATAAAACCCACTAAATAAGGAGCGAAAAATACCACGGCCGCCTGCCAGATTCCATCAATGGTATTGATGGCAAAAAGTTGGTACGTGTATTTCGATCCTCTGCGGCCTGGGGCATAGAGCACCGGGTTTGACAGCAACTCATCGGCCGGTGCATCCTGGTCGATCACACCTACGATGATCGGTTGGAGACTAAAACAAATATTTATTGTAGTTTGGAACCGACCACAAATGTCCATTCCCCTATCATTATCACTATCATTTGCCATAAGCTCTACTCAATCATTTTCGAAGCCCAACTCTACAACTCCTTGAAAAAATACATGTTTGCATAGTGAATAAACATTCACCTTGAAAATATGATAGGGTACAAAATTGAATAGACCGGGTCAGTGGTGAACGACGCACTCCAACCATTGTAGAATTGGAAAAACAGTAGTATGAAAACGTTGTTCTGAAAGTAACAGCAGCTTTTCCATCCTGAACTGAAAAAATACCAGATTTGTGAGAGGGAATGAGAGCCTTTAAAGGCGCATCAACATCCTTGTGCGGACCACCGATGAGATGTTCCGCTGCGCACATTACCGCTCACCTCATAGGCAGGTGTTCCATCGGCAAAATGGATCATGGATAACTTTCGTGTGAAATCTTTCTACAACAGCCTCAGTTTGAAGCAGTTTCTTCCATAACGCATTGATTTTTCATAGCTCGGCAACCTGTTCCCTCAAATCTGCAACTTGCTTCCAAGCTATTGCTTTATTTTGCGGGGTGTTCCAAAATTGCCTGTCACCAGATGTCGAAACTCAATAAACGAAAGAATTGACTGTTTTATCGTAGCTTTCTGGTGGTTGAATTTGCAGGCAATTCCTCGTCGACTGGGTAGCAAACTGGGTGAACTCATTGAAGGAGTCCAAAGCTCATTCAATGCGATGGGGCTTTCAGCAAGGGACGTTGTAGAATTTCTTACGGTTTTCGTTAGGACTATGCAGAGGCCCGAAAGAAACACGATCAGTAATGGGCATGGCTGATCGAGAAAGAAATCGGCGTT